TGCCGCTGCCTTGGATTCTACTGCCTCATCCTCATCTTAAGAGGTCTCGTCATCTTCTCAAGATCCTCAATCACAGGATCCATGGGGCGGACTATTATCGCAAGACCTGCATGATTACAGTGAGCTACAACTAGCACTCAGTTTAGGCGATGACAATGACAGTCCGTCACTATAATTAGAGAATTTTCCTCAGCTCAGTGTTCCATCAAGTTCTATTGATATTGCCTCAAGTTCTATAGACGTTCCAAGTTCTTCCTATGAGTCTTCACAAAAAAGACAAAAGGTTTCATAACTTCATGAAGATGTGGGCCTAGAGTTCGCGAAAATTGAACGAATCCTCAGGGATTACAAGAAATAAAAGGACGGAGGTAGTTCGGACAGCTCTGATAATGACAATACTGAGGAACTCATCCACAAATATGATCTCTGAAGCCTTCCCAAGCATGTTGAAAAAATTAGCTTGTCGTGTTTGAAAAACCAGCTCAATTTTTGGAAAAATATTGTTCATATACAGTTCATGCACTGTAGCGGCACTGTAGCAAGAAGAAAAATGTGCAGAAACGAAGAAAAACTATCGTCTAAAGGGGTTTTCAATCGTCTGTTAGTTGTAAAAGTCTTTAAGTATCACTTGTCAGTCTTTATTGTTGCTTGTTAGAGTTTTGCTTATCGTCTATCAGTTGTAAAAGCCTTTATGGCCGGTCGGAGAATGTCGAATTATTGGTGATTTCTAGAACTTCACCAATAATTAAGCTACGTCTACTTTTGTGCCTATATATAAGGCAATGCTTGTAAAGTTTGGGGACACGCTCTGCTCCTCAAGAAATAAAACTTGTGTGCATTATGAGTCCCTGAATCTTCACTTCTACCTTTCTGCTTGATATGATTTTACAAACGTATGTACGCTGATTAGTCTTGATAGTATGCTCTGCACTTGCCATTGTATGGAACCTGTGCATCATAATTCTGCTATCATAAAAGCAATTCTAAGGTGCGAATCAAAATTTGAAGAGGGGCCTGATGTCTAAAAGGCAGTCCCTTTTATAAAGGCCTGGAGAGCCGTTTATGTGTGGGATAGCATACCTGCCACACGCCTTTTCTTCTTCTTCCCTGATTTGTATCTTAGCCCTCCTTTATGGTATCAAAGAGATCAAAATTGAATTTCCCATGACTAATTAACCCTAGGGAAGGTATGGGTCTTGATTGATAATTTTGGATTGAATGCAATCCCCAATTTAGGTCTTAAAATCCCTAATTTTCAATTAATTTTGGGGTTTTTCAATTCCTTTGTCAAATCGTGAAATTGGACTGACCAATATGAAATTCAAGGTCCCAAAATCAATTGTTGTGAAGACACTATAACCTAAAAATGACTAAAAATAGTTTAATTGGGTTTTTGGCTTAATTGAGGCATGAAATTACCCAATTTTGGGAAAAACATATCCCCAACTGAAATTTTCTAAAATTGAGACTGCAGTGCTGAAATCGGAATTAAAAGAAGACTAATGGCTATTTTTTTGGAATTTTTTTATTTCCATTTGGTATTTTTCTTGATTTTTTCTCTCATTTTGGCCAAAAGAAATTAAGGAAAAATTCACAAAAATTCCAAAAAAATTATTTTTTGTTTAGAAATAGGTTCCTAAGCATGACCAAGGTTCCTAATCCAAATTTTGTGATTTTTAGATAAATTTGACAAATAGGCCAAAAATCAAGTGTCAACAAGTCCTAAAATTGTTTTTCACACTGTTAGTAAATTTGCGATTTCCAGATTTCAAATGCACAACATGAAACTATGGATCACAAATGTTCCAACGCAACAAAATCAGATCATTCGGATATCAGGTTGAGGAAGTAATCAACGGGCAAATTTTGATCAAACCTTCCGATACCTGAAAAAGGTCTTAAAGCCCAAAACCATACTTTTTGGTCTCCGAATCGAATTAAACTTTCGAGACCTATAACTTATGGGAAATAATCATTTGAAAAAAAATGTCATTTTGCAGAAACCACGTTTCGTTCATAAACCCGAGCCTTAGGCCTTGGTATTGTTCAAAATCTGGGGTCCGTAATTTCAATATTTTACTTACCATTATTGGGTTTGTTGGAGTCCCAACACTGCGAAGAATCGCGCAAATCGGACACTAGATGGAGAAGTCTATGGGCCCAAGAATTGGCACGACTCAGTTGCCATGCCCGCCCCGGCCTATAAGTACTCCCCACCCATATTTCAATTTTCAAATATAAAGAGTCATTGCTTTACTTTTGTTTTCTTGAATTTCTCCAGTTTGGTCATTGGGTCAAAACCTTTGGATACGTGATTGTGCGATTTTATCTTGGGTTCATTAGAGAGCTCTCGACAGGAGTGGTCCAGCGTCGTAAAATTCACGGGAATTGGACAGCGGACGGAGAAATTACGAGTCCAGAAAGTGACACATCCAGTGGACGCACGCCCGCGTCAAGTCAAGTAACAATACTGAGATTTAAGTGGAAACCCATTCTACGGGAAAAGGTAAAACCATGGGGCATCGAAATCCGTTAATCAACTTCGATCATGAAGGGTACAAAGGGTTCAACAATACCAAGAAAATACGAAGACACAAGCTCTCCCTTCTACTAGCTACTAGACCACCAACTCAAATTATAAAATGTGTGAACCACTCTCTCTAAGAACGAACAAAACTTAATTGGAAACTTGCTACAACCTTATAAACAATTAGAAAACTCACAACTGTGCCTTCAATATGAATGCAAAGTCATTTTGATCTGTAGAATACTATAAAACCTTATTTCTCTTTTCTCTCTTGTATGTCCTCCAATTTTGCCTGACCACATTGAGATTAGGGTTGAGCACCGGCCCTGTTCAACTCGAAAATTGAATCGAATCAGCTTGGACCGACTAATTCAAGGGAGAAACAGTTCGACTCTCGATTCCGCATATCTAAGACTGAACAAACCAATTCGGTCCCTCGATTCCAAGGCTAGAACCACTAGTTCTATCCAAGAGTTTGGTTCATGAAGAGAACCGGTTCTAAACCTGTTTTGAGTCTCTTTTAGAGATTTCACCTATCGAGAACCGTAATATGGTCTTTAACACAAAGAACAACAACATTACCACTTGACCAACAAATATTTTTGTAGTGAAATGGTTCAATTTTTATATTTCCATCGCAACAATTTGACTTTTCATTTAAAACATAAAATGGGCCAGCTTCCTAGTAGAATTGGGAATCATGGAATCAAGGGTCACAAGATCGATTCTCGACTCCTTAGAACCGATAGAAGTAGGGGTAAGCGGTTCTAGGTTTCTTAGAGGTTCCACATGGAACATAGAACCTACCATCAGGTACAGGTTCCTTATATTTTGGAACTTGGAACGTATCCGTCGGAATTTGGAATCTACCCTGTCACAGGTTCCAGGGTCTAACAGGTTCTTTTTTTATTATTTCAATTTTAGTTAAACAAAACGAAAATGAATGCAATACTACTGAACAAGCATGTCATTCACCAAAAAGAATACAAAAGACTAATTTTCCTGTCATTACGGTTTAAATAAATATAATTAAAATAAGAAGTCATTGCGTGAATCGATATTAGAGGTGAGCGGTTCCATGTTCCGTATAGGTTCTACCCATGATAAGAGGTTCCTCATTTTTTAGAACTTGGAACCTATCTTACCACAGGTTCGAAGGTCGGTTATAGAGTCTATATAGGTTCCATATGTATTATTAATTGAACAAATATAGTGAATCATCACTTTTAACAACCGCCACTTGCTGCTATGATCCACTATCACAACTTATATTTAGACATACGAAGAATATGAAATATTAACAAGTCATAAAATGAAAACTTAGACTAGTGTTTTCAGATTACACTCATCATCTAACGCCATGAAATACCGCATGATCATGCGAAGACATAGACCAAGAAAAAACACAAAAAATTTGTTTAGGTTTTAGGTTCCAGGTTCTAAGTTCCACCTACCTAGAACCTGAAGCCTACCTGTCAAAACAGATTTCTCAATTTTTGGAATCTGGAACCTACCCTGCACCTTGAAACGTGGAACCTACAGGTTCCTACTAGTCAGGTTCTCAAATTCTAGGTTCTACCATGCTCACCCTTAGATAGAAGGACATGGCTTCATCACTTGATTAAATCGACGGAAAATTTCAAATAAGGACCTGAAGTGCCCTCATTTAATCAAATAAGGGCATGAAGTGTTTCCATTTTCTCAAATAAGGGTTTGAAATTGATTTTGTTTCAAATAAAGACTTGAAGTGGCTATGTCTGTTTTAAAGAAGGGCTTGACTTTTCGGATGGTAAGGGCATTTTCGTCTTTTAACTATTTTTTGAAATTTTCTTCCTTTTTTTCTTTCTTTTTTTCATTTTCTAGTTTTTTCTTTGTTTTCCCGGAAAGGGTTGGGTGACGCCACGCTCGCAAGGTCTAGATGAGGTTCGAGACTAGGCGAGGTTGTCCGTCGCTGGTAGCTGGCGAGGTCCTACCCAGATTTGGCGAGGGCCAATCTCGCCCAACCCTTTCAACAAGCCACTGGCAAAAAACAAAGAGAAAACCAGAAAAAGGAAAAAAAGAAAAGAAAGAAGAAAGAAAAATAAATTAAAATTAAAATTATTTTTGGATGAAAATACCCTACTGGCCACCAGCGAATAACAAAGAGAAAACCAGAAAAAGGAAAATATAAAAATTAAAATTGTCTTTGGACGAAAATGCCTTTGATCGCCGAAATATTTGTCTGGCCGGCTATCGATGAGATTAGGCCTTCATTTGAAACTTACATGGCCACTTCAGGCTCTTATTTGATAATGACATACCACTTCATGTCTTTATTTGAGAATGGCATGTCACTTCATATTCTTATTTGATCTAAAATCCACTTTATGCATTTATTTGGAATTTTTACTTAAATCCATGATAGGTGTTTTAGTAAATTAATTTATCATGCCTATGTTGCTCGTAAAGAAAGGAAATGCATTTCACCCAGAGCCTCACACGGGTGGAAAATCTCCTCTTGGCGATTTAAGACGAACGATCAGCGAACGACCGCAACGCCGAACTCCACCCCCCGATTTCCTCGCCATTCCCATCTCCTCTCCGAGCACGAGCCGACTCGTCTCTCTCTCGAAGCTCGCACGCGCGCCGAGATTGTCGTAGTCGCAGTCGCAGTCGCCGTCGCAGATTCGATCGAATCGGCCGAGAGAAGGAACCCGATGGAAACGAACGGAGGGGAAGACGCCGGCGGCCGCCCTCAGGTCCGCCTCGAAAACCCTAGCCCCGGCCCGAACCCTAGCGGGGGCGCAGCATCGAGAGGGAAGTCGTGCAAGGGGTGCTTGTACTACTCCTCCGTTCTGAAGTCCAAATCTCGGCCCCCTACCTGCGTCGGCCTCTCCAGAACTCTCGACGAAGGTCCGTCTTCCCTCGCCATCGGACTGATTTCCCTCCTCCCTTGTCGTTCTCGATAGCGGAGAGGATTTGGTAAATTTGCTGCAGTTCGATCTTTATTCTATGGCTTTAGTGATTGGCGTCGCATTTGGTCGAATTGCTTGGAATTGGGGTCGGAGGGTTTTGCGATGCGAGGCTTGTGTTCGACGAGATTAACCGGTTGAATCGGGGGACCGAAATTACGATTGTTTTTCTTCTCTTCGGGCCCGATTCATCGATGTCTTGTCAATGTTTTTAGCTTATTTTGCACATTGTCGTTGATGGGATTTTGCTTGCTTATTGGGCTTCTTGTGAGCACATCTGCTGCTGCTGCTGCTGCTGGTTCCCCCTTCTAATTGTTTGGCAGTCTCTTTGGGATTGTAGAGTTTGGTGGGGATCTTATTCTCGTGCTTTGCCTTCGAATATACTGTTGCTTCTAGGGTGAATGGTATGGTTCGATGGTTGGGCAACCGGAAAGACACTCTGGTAACAAGGCCTTAATGTAAGCTGTACTGAGACAAGCCGTGACTTTTGTACTGACCTCTGGACTAGCACTTTTTGAGTATGATGTTGGACATAATCTAGGGGAATTTTTATCGTCCCATAAGTGTTTTTACAGGACCGGTCTTGCATTTGACGTGGATTGTTGGATAAAAAGGGAAAAACGTGGTTCATTAGATATGTCGGTTTTCTAGTCATAACTAACTGACATTAAGGGATAGTCACGTATGCAAAGGTGATCAAACTTACATTCGATTAAGTAAAATAGTTTCTAGTTATATGTCAGAAAAGTGTTAATGGTCCAGTAGAAAGTGCTCTAAATGCTTTTCCAAGTGAACAAAGGTTTGAACCTTGCTCGTGCAAGGTCAATTTTTTTTCATAAGGCCAAGGAAACAGTCAGAAATTGTCCCGGTTGAACCGTCCACGCTAAGTTTGATCAGTTTTTGATCACTCCAATTCTTTCATGAAACCGGACTATACCATGCTTGGTTCCTGGTTGAATCTGCCAGTCGTGTCCAGGTTTGAAAACACTGGTTTGACAATTTGCAATTTTTAATTAAAGGTACTTGTCTTAAGTTGGTTGACCTACAGACAAAATGTTCCAGCTCCATCTTTAGCAAAGCGTGAATCCGTTAGTCCTACTGTAAGCTGTTATTTGTATATGCTGACCCTTAGGATTGTTGATCAGTGCCTAGCTATATTGTGGGAGAAACTGAGTTGGAAGCTACCAAAGAGGGCCGGAATCTGAAAGACTTCAGCTATGCCTGTGTTGGTTACTCTGTCTTCTTGGAGAAAAATAATCAATCTTCAGATCTGAAGGATAAACAAGCAGAGCTTCCATTCTGTGTCGGTCTTGAGGTAATGACTCCTCTCCGTCTTCACCTCAATGGGATTACCTCTCTTTATGAACCAGCTTCTTCCTAATTACATTATGGTGGTGTTTTTCTTCAACACAAAACTTGAAAACTGTAAGCACCTATTGTAGCTTAATGTTGAATTTTGAGTCTTTTGATGTGTTTCTGTTACTGATTTAAGTTGCTTACAAATGCAGGATAAAAGATTATTGAAGTGTGATTTATTTTGGTTGACTCAGTTGAATGTTATCAGAATGACGTTTTTTGAGATCCTACTTTTGAGCATGATGTGTCAGTAGTGCCATAGTGTTCTTTTCATCAGTACATATCAATTTCTTGGTGGCTCAACAATGTTTAATAGTGTTTTGCGGGTACTTGTACAGATTGCCATTTGATTGTGTCTTTTGTTAGAAAAAGTCCGGAAAGGACACAAGAGACCAAGGTGCTACATATTTTGCCCATTCAAGGTTTTGAAGTAATTTATTGGGAGGAAGACACTGCACATTTGTGGTGATTCTAATTTCTGAACCAAGTGTGACCTCAAATTAATCCTGCATGTGCTTATGCTTAAGTTTGGTCTTGAAAATGTCCAGCTAGGTTACCACCGACCAAGAATTTTTTGCAATGGCTGGACAAGATATCTTTTGAGCTATTGTTTGTCCTTCTTTTTTACTGGCTGATGTAGTTGTACGTTTTCTTAGATGGTGTTACTACTTTGGAAGTTTCTGTTTCAAATAGTCAACTTTAAAAGAGCCTTCGATTATCAACCATCTCATTGGCAAAAAAAATTATTTATTGTCTCTTCTGTCTTTGGTATAAAATGTAAAAAGAAAGCAAACTATCAATTGTCTCTTCAACTATAAATTAGGCTTGGTTATCGAAAAGTAAGATCTTAAGACTGCATTTATCTTTGGATTTTCTCGTGATATCTTCGTGTTGTGTAGTGAACATGTTTAGTTCTTCTCGAGTTGGTCGTTGATAAAGTGGTCATGTTGTATGATTTGTACCCTACTTTATTTTTATCTGACAGCTAAATTTGTGTCAGGTTCTGTTAGATAAAAGAACAACACCTGCAGAGAATGTTCCTGCAAACCTTCATAAAAAGGAAGGTGAGGAGCTTGGTTCTCTTTTGCAATGCTTGCCTTGTTACTTGGTTATATTGCCAGCACACACTTATCATTGTCTTTGTTCTACCATGGCCTTAGCCATAATTGTTCCCTTGCCATTCTGTCGTTGGCCTAAGGCCCTAGATGTGCTCTTCTCATGCTGTTTTCCACATTAGTTGCTTAGTGACAATTTGGTGCTTTCTTCTCATTATGGCAAATCCCTGTGTATTCAGCTCCAGATGGTCATGCTTTTCCTCAACGGCGGAGTTACAAGCCAGCAATTTCTTCTGGCGATGATTACTTGAGTAGGCGAGTCCTCTGCTCTAACATTTGTATCATCCCCCATCGTGTTTCAAGATTACTTGCAAGTCCAGATGACAAATTCCATTGATTTCCAGGTTTAAGAGAAATGCGGGTCTGGTCGCATCCGGTGTTGCCAGGAATGTGAATAGAGTAGGAAACTACATAAAAGAGAGCATGGACGATATTTTCCAGCCTTACCGGAGGCGACCGAAGTGAAGTTAGCAGATCCTGATGGCGTATTTGAAGAATGGGGCAACTTCCCGGTCGCCAATTTTTAACAGGATCCCAGTTTCTCTGATACAGAGTTATTGATAGTAGTACATCCTTTGTCGAGAAGGGCCAAGCTCCATTGTTGTAATAAATGAATTTTGACGAATATACTTATGATTCTACTAAGTTTCGAAAATCCCTAAGGTTTCAGTTTTGCACAATTTTCGTTTCCCATCTTCAGTGGCCGCACTTCACAATTCTTACCTCCTGATGTATTATCATCTTATGTTCAACACAACAGGGCTCGAGATTCACCATGAGTGCGTACGATACTTTATCATAACAGCAGGTGTACTTTCACATGAAGCTTGTATCTTTCGTTTTTTTTTTGACTTTTTGCCATGACCCACTCAACTACAAGAAGCCTCGATAGGTTAATTGTCCAAGAAAAGTTGTTGACGGGCCTCAGCTGTAAGCTGCCAGGCCCCTCAAGCCCATGATCGTATCTGTTTGAAGAGTGTTTTCCCGTTTGTTTCTTCTCAGCCGTTTCGCTATATCATTGTCGTTTCAGACAGTTTGGAAGACTCGTGACTCACGAATTTGATTGTATATATATTTTATGATATCTAAAATCATATTTTTAGTTTTCAATAAAGTATAATTCAATATTTCCATTTAAATTCTAAAAGTAATCTATAATTTAGTAAATTCAGAGATACTGTAACAAAGACTGAATGGAAGTTCTCCCTTGTTCTTAGGGTTAGTTGACCCCAACTGAGCTGATTTTCTCCATTTACTTCACATCACATTTTCTTGATCGGCTAATTTGACCCCCATACAGTCTAGGGCATGAATCCCACCAAGCTATAAACCAATTCAGAAAAAGATTCTTTTAGAAGCACTCCACCCACCCACTAATCAAAGCGACACTTTAACATTCATCAGAGTCGATGGAAGCATCTCTTTTGACACATCCACTCAATGCCTTTGTGAATGGACGGATCACCCTGGACTGTGCTTGACCAACACCTGAAAACTCTCCTCCAAATGGGGTCCCAGGTACGTCAATAGAAAGGGTCGAAGATCACAAGCCATAAACATGCCTGGACTCCATCATGTTCTCCTAAAATGGTACTGGAGAATCGACCATACCAGTCCTTTGATTCCTCCATGAAAATCAAGATCATGCTCCTCATGCAAACCATCTTCACGGATCATTGAGCTTTCAGCAGGAGAAAATTTTCTATGTATTCCCCTTGCAATCATAGAATACCTTGATAAGTCCGAACATCGCAGCTGCCATCGCCTTCAAAATCATGCATTGGCCGAAAACTCTATGTCCATCCAATTTCGCTTGCGCCTTCTCTTCGACAAAGGCTTCACCGCTTAGAACTCTTAGAGGACAAGAATCTTGTCTCGAAATTGGTATCTCAGATAGGCCTTGCCTTGATATTCTCCCTTCTACAGTTTTCTAATTTTCACCAGATATTTCGGATCTTCATAATATATAGTTTGCTATGATTTTGCTAGTTGTCCTAGTAAGTATAGGAGCGTCATTTTTTGGGGGAAAGTACCAAAAATATAACTTATGTATTTTAAAATACGAGTTTGCTAACTCTAGAAAAAATCCCTATTTTGAAAAGATCAAATTATCGCTCTACAAAACGTCCAAACTCTGCCATAAAGCTTTAGCCTCCATAACCCACAAACCCCCCCATCTCCCCTCTACTACATACCACTACTATCCGATTCTGTCGTTGACCTTCCGTCCACCTAGGGCCGTTGCCAAAGTCACTCCCTCTCCATTGCTGACTTTGACCCCTCCTTCGTAGTGAAACACCATGTTTGGGGGAAAATTACTAAAAAAGTTCTAAACCTGTTACACTTATGCCAATTTAGTCTAAACCTTTTAATTGTGCCAATTGAGTCATGAACCTTTTCACGTTTTGCCAATTGAGTTAATTCAGCCAATTTTGGTCGGAAATCACTGATATGGACGCTTGCTATCTTATGTGATACGACAGGTGTTGACGTAGAAATTTTTAATAATATTTTAATAATTTCTTGAATTTTTAATCTTTTAATCTTTTTTTCTTTTCTTTTCTTTACTTTTTCTTTTTTTCTTGGACTTAGGGACGCCCTCACCGGGTCTAGGCGAGGCCATCGCGGCCCTCGCCTGTGGCCGGCGAGGGTTGGCAGGTGATCCTTGCTGGCCTTAAGTCCAAGAAAAAAAAGTAAAAAAGAAAAGAAAACAAAAAAGAAAAAAAGAAATTTTTTTTTAAAAAGTTCAAAATATTATTAAAAAAAATTTCCATGTCGGACGGTCGGCATCCATATTAGCGATTTCAGGTCAAAATTAACTGGATGGATTCAATTGATAAAACGTGAATAGGTTTATGACTCAATTGGCCCAATAAAAAGGTTTATGACTGAATTAGCACAAGTGCAATAGATTTAACACTTTTTTGGTAATTCTCCATGTTTGGCGCCCATGACCTCAACCTCCATGCTCCAGTAGCCATGGTCACGAGCTCGAGCTTTCAATACCAATCATTGAGCCTTCACATATAAAATTTATATGTCCCATAAAGCCTAACCGAGTATCACGGTACCAATCCTCGAGCACTAAGGTGGCCTAGCTACCAAAATCCTCGATCCGATTCACAGAGACTAGTTGTCTCAATTTAGTTTTAGTGTTCTCCCTCTTAGTCCTTACTTACGTTCTAGATGACCTTGATGGCTAGTGGTGACTTCGAACTTCTAAGAAGTGTTTCCTGCAAATGAATTTTTGAAAGGAAGGTATTTTCTTAGAAGGTATTTTCAGAAGATGATTGCAGAGGTCGGTTTTGAGAGAGTCCGATCAAACCCATACCCCTAGCCCTAGAATTAGAGGGAAACTCTCTATCATGACCGAAATAGATGGAACAATTCATGTGTCGATTTTCGAATAGTAGCATCCTCACCATATTCAACCGATTTACCACTCAACTCCGCTCTTCCAATTACCTAAAGTTGGTGAGTTCAAGTTGGAGAATTATTAATTCTCTAGGGTAACCTAACCTAATCTGTATCACTTCATGATTCACCACACCAGTTTTTCTAGTACAATTATCATCTTCCCCCACATCATAAAGGACAAAAGATAGGCAAATCATTCCTAACAGTGTGGTGCTGTCTCTATACCTTTTGACATTGCAATCTCTAAACCAATTATTTGATCTTCTAACTCTCTGTAGTTTAGTGCCAGAAAGTTGTGTGGTTGCGAAATTTCCGATGTCAACAAATCTTTGGTACTTGGTAGGTGAATTGCTACCCAACACAACCAACCGCAAGATACAATGGGAACCTTCCATAAAGTTTAGGTACTAACTACAATTTGTCAACACATACTAACTTCAAGCGGGCAAGCAATACTAAAAGGATTTGATCTGAGTAGGAAGCATGCTTGTCTTCTTCACTCAATCAATCAAGGGTACTAACACCTATGCCCCCGTTTATGTTTAAGGTTATTTCTAGAAATATATCACTTTAGAATCATATCTTGCGATAAATAAAATAGTGTGTACGAGAATGGGGGAGCTTTCACATCTGGTGAGAGTTAACTCTATTTTGAAAAGCCTCGGACACAACCATTGTGAAGGAAAGCAAAATCAAGTGGGAAAACAAGGACAGATTTGCCCACTTAAGCTTGGATTCCCATCAAATCATTATGCTCAGTTCATCCAAATGAAAATGTGAAAGCCAATGATGTTAGCTTGCTTGTTGTATACATGTGACTGACCAAAAAAGAAACACACTCCAATTTCTTCAGAAAATTTATCAAAATTCATTGTACGTACAACACGTGTCATGTGTGCTCTAGAGAAGACAAAGTTATAGAATTAGTGATTTCTTTTCAGGGAAAGTTTGGTGACTTTAATGAAATTTCGATGGACACTATCCTTTTAAAAGCTAATGAGTGATTAAAAATATATCTAAGGTGGGGGATCCATCTCCTTTTCCAATGGATCTATTCATTTTTTTTTATCGAAAACTTCAAACGAAATGGTTCGAACTATGAACCACCGATCCACCCCATGTCAATACGAGGCCATTTTATATTTTAATAAGAACTCCTTCTCAGAGTTTCAACACAAACAAATGAGATATGTGAGCGCTTCGATAGAACGACTTTCTATCTATCCAAATTGTTGAATATATTAGTATTTTAAAAAATAAAAATGGATATTTCGTCATGCTCAACCTGCAATGATCGATTTGGATGAACGGAGAATTTTTGCTCTAAGAATATGCAAAAATTTGTGATGGAAAGGATCGACGCCATCGAATAAAAGGTCCAATGAAGGTGGTGAAAATTCAATTTGTCGGTGCACGCTCGGGGGAAATTCTGGTACGTTTTACTTTTTCTTGACCAAATGGGCGAGCGAGTAACGTTCCACCATACTCTCGCGTGCCCTGAGAAGGAGAGAGATGTCACACGGGAGCACAACCACAGGGAGGTCAGATATGGGCCCGAGAAGGTGATAAGAGAAATTAATTATTAGGTGAGTTTATTTTGCGAAAAATATATAATTTAAAATATTTTTTTTCTAAAAATGATTGTTTATATCACTTATAAAAATGAATGAATGAAAAATATTTTTATTGTCAATGAAAATATTTAAATATAAATTATTGTCGATAATGGAAAATATTTTTAATTGACTAACTATTTCAAACGATAACTTTTAAGAAAATGTTTTCTGAATCATTAGGTGTGTTTGTTCGAGGGAAAATTACATGATAATTCGGGAAATCCTTTTTCAGGAAAATATTTTCTCCTTTTCTGGATAGGAAATTCATTTTCTTAACTTTAAGCTTACGTATTTTCTTTGATCATAATTGTTTTTCCTTTGACCGATCATGTTTAGCAAATCAAATGTGTGAAAGATCCAAAAACTAATTCTCGGAAAATTTTTTTACTCAAACAAACACATCCAAAACATAATGACTGATAACTCTATAATCATTATTAGGTTACATATAATTATCCAAATACAAATAATCATAACAGATTATCCTATCAAATCCTATTGAAATTAGGTCTTTAATTGCTAAAAGCAGCAAAATGTTGGAAAACCAAGACATAGTATAAATGCACTTAGGACATTACATAGACATTATTACGTATACGATATGATCAAGCTTTAGACTAATTATGCTTTCTGAGGGTATTGTTTTC